AGAGAAAAGTTAGCTGATAATTAGGCCGTACCTGGGAGAGTTATAACGTGAATCCGCACGTAACTTATAGGCGGTCTTACTGCGCAGTAGATACATGTATGTATACTGAACTTTCTGAAATATCCTAATGGTTTTGTATGTGAAGGTCGCAGTAAGGCGGTCGGTGAGCGACCGTCGAGCGATATTGGACTTTAATATTGGTTTTTGTTAATTTATTCTCTCAATATGTTTAAGTGGTAGCGTTAAAATAAGTCTTAGCTACTTGAGTACGCTGCCACTTTGTGTTGTGCTATCTTACTTAATATGTGTGATATACTTAATATGTATCAATAGAAACAAAAACTTGGGAATTGGGGACGTCTTTTCTGCAGAATAACACGACCTGGAACTCGGGCTGATTAATCTCAGAAGAGAAAAGTTAGCTGATAATTAGGCCGTACCTGGGAGAGTTATAACGTGAATCCGCACACGTAACTTAAAGGCGTTCTTACTGCGCAATAGATACATGTACATGTATGTATGCTGAAGTTTCTGAAATATTCTAATGGTTTTGTATGTGAAGGACGCGGTAAGATTCCCACTGTATCTGCATCTGTATCGGTATCGGTACAGCCAGTATAACCACCCTTCGGTGTAACACACCAGCTTCGCAGGCACGCGGCGCGGCGGCAGCTGGCTACATTACACCGATCGACTTGTTAAACCTAACCCTTGAAAATCTTACTCTAGGCATTGTTTAAAGCTATCTAATGTTAATGCCCCTACTGTACTTGGTGACAGCGAGTTCCACTCTGCGATAGTTCTAGGGAAGAATGAGTTTTTGAACACCTCAATCCTTGGTTGATAACTCTGGTACTTAGAGGCATGGCTACTTGAAGACACTGAACAGCGATCGGCGAGCGACCGTTATGCGATCAAAACTGGCTCTGTGTTACCCTTAATTCTGTAGTTACAGCATGATGCAAGATGTCAAAAAACGATTTGAAAGACAAAAAAATATACAAAACATAGAAATATTAGATTTTGTCTAGGAAACTCGAAGCGCGATCTGCCAATTGCCTGCTTGCTAGGAGGACGCAGCCTTCAGTAGAAAGGCGATGTAAGAAAAACTCGACAAAATACATTTGTCGATGAAAACAATGCCGAAACAATAATGAACAGTTATAAGTAATACATAAGTTACATTATATAGAAAACACACTAATATCTATAGAAAGTATTTTAGTAGCAATTTGGCATTTAATGTGGCTCAGTTGGAAGAGGCTTGAAGTTTCTATGCTGCTCAAAAAAAAATTGAAAAAAATATTTTGCTAGAAAAACAGGATTTGCGGCAAGTGACATCAGTTCGTTCGTCACATCCTGTTTTGTTACTTATTGGTGTCTTATTATTATTATTTACTATTGTATGTACTCTTCTTTGTCAGTGGTGTGGCTAAGATTAGCAACCTGCTAGAGTTGCCCACCACTGTGTCCAGGAATGCTGAGGTCACAATTTCAAACCGGGGCCCGGCCGGACAGTCTTATGGAACGAAAATCATGATATAAAAGAAAAGTTGAAAAAAAAATAGACAGAAAAGTTGAGAAAAAAAATAATACTGAAAACTATCTGCATATATAATATCATATTTTTCGTTGGAAATGTGACAACAGCATAAGTTTCTATGCTGCTCAATAATAAAACATGTTTTTCTAGGATGTGCGGCGAGTGACATCAGTTCGTTCGTCACGCGCCAGCCTCCAAGGGCCGTGTTTCCTCTCCTGGCGGCTCCACGTTCCTCTGAGGCCCGTAATGGCTAATGTGATCACACGGTGAACCGGCTATAAATATGGGACAGGACGGTCCCACCGACAACCAGCAAAGGACGGCCGGGAACAAGCACAGGTAGGTGGCGTCTACTACAAACTCTTTGTTCTTTCTTACGTTGTGTTACATATGTATTACCATATCCTTTATATTGGACTGATATTGGTTACAAGCACAGGTAGGTGGAGGCTACAAACCCTTTGTAGCCTCCTAAATAATTTCTTACGTTGTGTTACATATGTATTACCATCTGTATTTCCTTTATATTGGACTTAAAGCCAAAAAGTTTAAAGTCAAAATTTTGCCCTTTTCCAAAATCATATCCAGTTGCTTGAGTAACTCCTTTTTGGCGTATCTTATTACCTGGATGTCTAACCTTCACCGACGTATTGAACTCTAATATTAGCTTTTGTTAATTTATCTTCTGTTTATGTGTAAGTGGTAGCGTTGAAATAAGTCTTAGCTACTTGAGTACGCTTCCACTTTGTGCTGTGCTATTTTACTTAATATGTATGATCAATAGACAAAAATTCTTCCGTAAAGACCCGGATAGCATCGTAAAGGTGTGTGTGGGATCCTAAAGTACTCGTCTGGGTAGGATTGTAAAGGTATGTGTTTAGTATCTTAAAGAGGTAGTAGGACAGTAAAGTGCTCTTTTCCGTTCTTGGGGAGGCTCGTAAAGGTCCGGATAGCATCGTAAAGGCATATGAGGGGTCCTAAAGTACTCTTCAGGTCTGTGATCGTAAAGGTATGTGTTTGATATCTTAAAGACGTTGTAGGATGGTGAAATACTCTTTTCGATTCGTGTGGAGGCTCGTAAAGGTTTGGGCAGGATTGGAAAGGTATGTGGGAACCTGAAGTACTCTTTTCTATGCGTGGGAAGGACCTTAAAGGTCTGAGTAGGATCTTAAGGGTATGTGCTTGAGGTGGTAAATACGTTTGTAGGATTGTAAAGGCGCAAGCTCCTAAAGACGTATGTAGAATCCTAAAGTACTCTTTACGATGAATGCGGATCGAGGATCGTAAAGGTCTGGGTAGGATCTTAAAGGTGTGTCGTAAATACGTTTGTAGGACCGTAAAGTTGAAGGCATAGGCGAGATCTTACAGTATTGCCTTGAGTTGTGAATTCGTGGCTCTTTTTACGACCACCATCGTCATATCTATGGACTGGAAACCAGAGGGTAGGAGGAAGTAAGGGAGATCATTGAAGCTAACATGGCAACGACTTTCAAAAAAAAAAAACTCGAAAATAGAGGAGAGCTGAGAATCTGGCCAAAGATCGAACAAAGCAGAGGAAACTTGCTGCCCAATGTTCGCTTCACACGGGGGGAACTAAGTGTAAGTCATCTTTATAACGGGCTTGCCTGGTCCAAGACTTTCTCTATCCAGCCAGCCCTGTTCATCATGGAACTTACCAAGTTTTCCTTGGGGAGGCTGGCGTCACCACAAGTCGGTCTATGTACGTTAAATCAGGTCTCCCAGGTCTGGCGTGACCTTGTTTTGATCTTCAAGGGACTGTTTCGACAGCCAGCTCATTTTAACGAGGAGGCCTGCTGAAAGTTGTCGCAAAGTTTAGTAGGTGGATTCAGCGTGGCCAAATCACAAGCTGTCACTTCATCAGCGTTAATAGATTCTTTGTTGACACAACAGAAAGTACAGAGACTTTAATGATGCATCAGATCTTCAACTCATGAGATTGTAAGGTTTGCCCCGTTGCTTTTGGTCGGAATAGTGAGTCTTCTTTTTAACTGTTTGATTAGCTTTTAAAAACTCTAAAGGGTTGGTAAATTGTTGAAGAAGATTGTTTTGTGAGTCTTCTCTTTTTAACTGTTTGATTACGTTTTAAAAAACCCTGAAGGGTTGGTAAATTGTTGAAGAAGATTGGTTTGTAGTCTCTTATGGTTATTTGAAACAACATTTGGCAATGGTAGAAAAGCGTTTCGTTCTCGAAAAAAGTTCATCAGCTTTAACGCTGCATCAGATGTTCAACTCAAGATATTGTAAAGTTGCTGTTGCTTTCGATCAGAATCGTAGGTCTTCTCTTTTTAACTGTTTGATTACGTAAAAAACCCCTGAAGGGTTGGTAAACTGTTGAAGAATATTGTTTTGTAGTCTGATGAGGTTTTTAGAAACAGCCTTTAGCAATGGTAAAAAAAGTATTGTGTTCTCGAATAAAGTTCTTAGTCGGCGCCTCCTATGTCCTATCCTAGCCTTATTTGACGTGTTTTGATGACCAAAACGATGTCATTAAGCGGCAATCTGACCCTCGTCATGCTGAATAGAAGATGACCAATAAAAATGACCACGTAATCGCTGACGCCAACTGACCAAAGCACAGCCCCCGGATGGGGAAATGATGGCTCTGTCCTTAGGAAGGTCGGGAGAAATCGGGGTGTTTGTCACGCCGTGCTGGTCCCAGGGGCACGTGTGAGAATTTCCGCCCTTCCGAAGTTATACTCAGAACCACATGCGAGATCACTGCAGCGGGTTAGCCTCTACCAGGCACCGCGGATCGCTGAAAAAATAGTAGAAATTGGCCGAAATAAAGGGAAAGTATACCAGAGAAGATCCCGGGCCATAGAAGATCCAATTCGCGACCCACCGTGGGTTGGATCTTCTATGGCCCGGGAACTTCTCTGGTATACTTTCCCTTTATTTCGGCCAATTTCTACTAGTTTTCCAGCGATCCAAGGTACCTGGTAGAGGCTACAGCGGATGACCTGTCCGTGCTGAACCCGTGGATTAATACACAGGGGTGCGTGGGAGAATTTCTGCCCTTCCCAATTTATACTCCGAACCAGATGCGAGCTCACAGCAGCGAGTTAGTCTCCACCAGACTCCTTTACAGGCTGAATAAATAGTAGAAATCGTCTAAGGGGAACATCATTGGCCTGACGAGTTGGCCGGCCATAGAGGGTCCACAGCAGGCAAACTAGACCCTCTATATGGCCGGCCAACTCTCCTGGCCAGCTACATTCTTTTAGGCAGATTTCTACTATTTATTCAGCCTGCAAAAGAGTCTGGTGGGGACTAGCAGCGGGTGACCTGCCTTAGCCTGTCCGTGCTGAACCCGCAGATTAATATACATTCTCCGCACGGTTAATGTGCGCTCATTAATGCCGATGTGTCCCCGGAGTGATCGTCGTTAGCAGAGTCCGCTCACGTCGCCGCGGGTATAAATAAAAGGTCCCCTTACTAGTCAGGAAAACTTGTGACATCGGCAGGCGTGCACAGCGGCAGGTAAAGAGCGACAGTCAAGCAGGTTAGTGCGGGCAGTAAGAGATGCCGTTACTTGTGTAATATGGTCTTTGTGTTGGCACATCTCCGTTGTGTTATACATCTCCGATGCAAAGTACTGTGAATCGCTACTGAGTAGTGCAGCATAGGAAAGACTAGTATAGAGTTCGCCATTGGAATTTCTAGAATTGTACATCTCATTTACTACAGTTGGTCTTTCCAATTACTAGAATTGCTTGTCCAAATTACTGCAGTAAGAGATGGCGTACCTTTCGTCTGTGGGCAGTGCAATCTTTGTGTTACTCATCTTCGCTACAGAGTACTGTGCATCTCTACTGAGTAGATTTAGTTCCCTGCCCATTGTAGCATAGGATAGACTATTGCTGAAGCTCTGGTCACTTTCTATTGGAATTACTACGTAGACTTGGCCCTTTGAAATTTCTAGAATTGTACATCTCAATTACTAGAGTTTGTCTTTCCAGTTGCTTGAATAGGACACTGCGATTGATACAGTTTGTTTGTTAAATTACTAGAATTACGCATTAAATTTACTGGAATAGTCGATTGGAATTAGTTACTCGCTATTTTCCACTCAATTACACTATCAAAACTCTCATGACAGAGAGAGGTGTTAAATGGAGGAGTTGATTCCCTTTCATGCTGTATTGTCTAAAAGTATTTGTTTCTGAGCATTTTCTTCGCAATCTGAGGATGGATGGTATGACGTGCCGTCGTCGGCCGGTCAGTAGGACCGTTGGGTTTGCCGGGGACTCTGGTACATGGTCGGGAGATCGAGGTGCGTTTTGTGGTGTTCTGGATCAAAGGGTTTAACTTATGGTTCATTTCTGTCTTGTGAGTAGATACGACGTCAGTCTTTTTTGATTGTGGAATTCTCCCTCAATCCCCGGAAAAGAGACGGTTTAGGAAAGATGTTGACTGAGTCATTGGTACTTCGGACTGGTCTGTGGAATAGGCAGCATCTCCATACGGACATGGCGACTGCTTTTCTTGAACAAACTCGAGCGTTTTCACATAATGTTTGCCAGATGTGGGTTGAAATGCTTCCGTTGATGGTTTTGTCTCTTCTCCTTCATTTCGTGCATCGTGTCAAAATGAACCTGTCCTACTGCTGGTCTAGGAGGATTAGTTTGAAGGTACTGGTAAAAGGCAATCCGCACTTCTTCACTCGTGGCTGTACCAAAAATCAGAAAAAAATGTGGAAATCGTCACGACCTGAGCGTAATGACCTAGGTATGAACCACTCGTGCCAAAATGGCTTTGGTTAAGGTTTTAATCAGCAGCTTTATCACCTCTTCTTCAACGTTAAACCTTATACGGCTGACCAGTAGAGACACGTAAAACGACTTTGGCTGCACTCTTAGGCGCATCTCGTTACCGATGCAGGAACGTGTCATCCTGTCTACTGAACTTCCTCGGCTTTCTTTTCCAGCCATCTGCCTCTACCCTGGCCCTGGCCGTTCCTTAATGGACTGTGGTACGGGCGCTTCCCTTTACAACAGCCTGTCCATTTGGCAGCTGTTGAAAAGCCCCTATCGGTGTTTTTGTCTCTTCTCCCTTTTTAGAGACATTTGGAAGAATCTCACAGAGGTTTGTTCGTCGTATTTCAGGAACACTTTGAAGACTCTCACTCACGGAAGTCTGTTCGCCCTATTTCAGACACATTCTGAAGAATCTCACACACAGATGTCTGTTCGCCCTTTTATCATACACGCTTTGAAGAATCTTACGCACAGATGTCTTTTCGCCCCTTTTAGACACGTTTTGAAGAATCTTACGCACAGAAGTCTGTTCGCCCTATTTAAGACACATTTTGAAGAATCTCACTCACAGACGACTGTTCGCTCTATTTCAGACACACTTTGAAGACTCGTCACGCACAGATGGCAGGAAGAATGACCTTGTGGCTGCCGACCTTGGCCATCGCCTTCTTCGTGTTCGTCTGTGGAAGCGTACCGGTACAAGCGGAGTAAGTCTTCTTTCCTCTTACATCTGCCGACAAACACACCTCAAGCCTGGGGAAAATGTTACGTTTCCTGTTTTAGTCCTGAAAAAATTGGGGTCGGTAGGTAGGGGTATCTTTTTTCTTTTTTTTTCTTAGACTTTGGCAATCTCTAGTGATTAAACTTATACAATACAGTCTAAAAAAGTAAAACTTGCATAATGATACTTATTTTCAATGACAGTATTAGAAAACTGATTGTACGACGTTTAATAACTCACATGTCAGGTCATGGAACTAAAAAAGGTTAATCAGCTCGACAAAAAATGTTGACCCTTGCAGGGGTCCACCCACAAAATAGCCTAGGGTCAGCAACTTTTTCTAGGGTAAGTCGGAAACCAGAAAACATAACATTTTGTTTTCTGGGCCTTACATAAGCCACTTTTTCAGCAACTCAACTGTCACCCCTCCAAGTACTTATACATCCAGCAAGTATCCAATACCAGGTCAGCAAAGAACAAGAAATAGCCATGCCTTCCAGGGTACAAGAGCTATGCCAGGATTAAGATGTTCAGTTTTTAGACAATTAATAAAAATTACCAGTAGTCAATTTTTCGTAGGTGGAACTCGCTGGTAATACGTGCAGAAGGGGCATCATCACTAGATAGCTTTAAACAGCGCCTATTTGTTTATTTGTTTATTTAAATTTTTCACAAAGTAAAAGGGAGGGCAAAACAGGTGCGAAGCACCTTTGCTAGTTGCCCTCCCACATACAAAAACAACAAGAATGTACATTACACAGTCAACAATCTATAATACAAGTAGGGCCTATAGCTCGATGTGCAATGTTTATGTGTGACAGGTAGTTCAGAGTAACAACTAGCTGTAGGCAACGCCAATGAGATATGCAGGAACATTTAAAAAGGACATGAACTACACCGAACGGGTTCCCATCAAATGTATGCTTGCACAAGACAGTCACTCGATGACGTCTCTGCCGTAAATATCTTAATGATAACGCGACTTAGACTTAAAGGTTCCTCTGTCGTAGCAGACTAACAACGTGGGTTCATAAACAGTAAATTTACGCAAAATCTGGAGAATGATTGGCCACCGTGGAGCTCATTAGCCCGCGCCCTTTCTAAGGACTGACTCTTCTGGCCAATTATCATTTCCTTTTGTGCCGAATTCTACCATTCGTATTCATGTGGGAATGTCAGGTTGAGGATTTAAGGCAGCTAGGGAAGCCTTCCAATGACCCTTAGACAGTGTTTTATCCCACTGTGGTCTTTAAGCACGCAATGTTCATTTTAAAGCCCTATTACGGACCATCTATCTCGGACCGAAGATTCGCCTGTTAGATAACATTCAAGATCCAAGATCCGTTTATTTAACATTGCAGTGGGACCACTGAATTGTGTCCAATTTACGTTTGAAGTTTAAAAGCAACTCTCCGACTACTGACACAATCTGTATCTGTATCTGTATAGCCGGTATAACTGCCCTTTGGCGTAACACATCAGCTTCTTGAAACTTTGAAACTTTATCCACACACCTTCTTGCAGACAATAAGTCTGAATTGACAGGCACTTACAATGAAATAGCTTCTGTATCTGTATAGCCGGTGTAACCACCCTACGGCGTAACACAAGCTTCGCATGCACGCGGCGCGGCGGCAGCTAGCTTATCACACCGAACGACTTCATACACCTACACGTGAGCAGGAGATACTGAACAGTGCTGAAACATAACTCCTAAACTGGATATGGTTTTGCTGGGAATTCTAGATTTTTGCTGACGCCCTTACGATCTCATAACATATATCTTAAAGGCATCCATTGCAGTTTTAGGGCTTGGAAACCCGATTTTTCAAGTCATCATTCTAGTCATCTATCTACATATTGAGTTAAACCACACAGTCCCAATTTAATTGGCCCTCATGGAGAAAAACTTTCCCACAATTCTGACGGAAATGGTCACTGGAATAACCCTGAGCTGATTTTAGGGCGCCACCCAGAAAAAAAGGACTCGTCTCGCGGCTTGTTTCTGCAGTTTTACACTGAAAGTAGGCTGATTTACGTGTAAATGTGCCGATGTGAAGCAGTATGTGTCAATATCACAAAGATTGCCTTGTTCAGAATATTTCCAGTTTTGCTGCCCTGAAATCACATTGGAAAGCGACTCGGCAGAACCAAGACATTCCTGAGAGTGCCCTATACCTGGATTATCAGACAATTTATTGGTGGATAAATGTCAACTTTTTACAAGTCGCTTGTTGCTGTAAAAGGACTTAAAGCTGTTTTTTGAGCACAGTAATACTGTATCGAAGGGAGAATTTTGTGTCACACTGAAAAAGGATAATTTTGTTTTTGCCATGTTTTTTTTTATCTCTGTACTCATTGATTTCCCCTCGTTGGTTGTGTTCTCAGAGAAAAGAGACTAGCGGAGATGGACATCGCCAGAGACCAGGCAGCCAAGATCGCACGGGAGCAGCTGGCAGCGAAACTGGCGGCCATCACGGGCAAGAGGAGCGCAGAGAAACGCATAGCACAGAGCATTGTCACAGGTAGGGCATGAGGAGCGCAGAGAAACGCATATTTTATTTTATTTTATTTAAATTGCAACATTGCAATACACGCCGAGCAGAGGCAGCTGTTGCTGGTGTTGTGTCCCGCACATAGAAACGAATACTGGACAGACAATACTCATTTTTACTTGAGTCTAGTGGGGAAAGTCGTGTAAAGTGCCTTTCCCAAGGGCACACGATCGGTGGCATGTCAGGACTTGAACCCGGGACCTCTTGGTTCTGAGTCGCGCACTCTGCCATTGCGCCACACGACACCACAAACGCATAGCACAGAGCATTTTCTCAGGTAGGGCAGGTGCACCGCATACAAACGCATAGCACAGAGCATTGCCACAGGCAGGACAGGAGGAGCGCAGACAAACGTATAGCACAGAGCACTGCCATAGCTATAAGACCGCAGACAAACGCATAGCACATAGCACTGCCATAGCTATAGGACCGCAGACAAACGCATAGCACATAGCACTGCCATAGCTATAGGACCGCAGACAAACGCATAGCACATAGCACTGCCATAGCTATAGGACCGCAGACAAACGCATAGCACATAGCACTGCTATAGCTATAGGACCGCAGACAAACGCATAGAACATAGCACTGCCATAGCTATAGGACCGCAGACAAACGCATAGCACATAGCACTGCTATAGCTATAGGGCCGCATACAAATGCCTAGCACATAGCATTTTCACTTGTGGGAAGAACTGTAGATAAAAAAAACCATCACCTGGTCACTATGTTTTAACCGTATAGAAATTTTTTGTAAGCTCTTGTCCGTAGGCTAATTGCAAGTACACGTTACATGATAACAAAACATGGGCAGCAGGATGGATCACAATATAGTATGCAACTCCTCTATCTACTAAACACTAAATTCTAACTTATTTGGTTCGACTATTGACGATTTTTTTCAAGTAATTAATTAGTTAATTAATTCAAGCCAATAACTAAAAATGCAACATCTGACTTTTACGGAAAGCTTTTCGTATTATCCATTCATCGAAATGTTCTGCTGACCTACTTAAGTTTTCCATACTAATTGAATTAAAACTTCTCCGGCGTATCTGGATAATCTCTTAATCTTCTCAGGTGGCCTCCTTAAACCTAGTCTTAGAGTTGTTTGGAGAAAGCGGTCCAAAAATATAAAAGTATCTCTATAATCACTTTTCTAAGGTCACATAGTAATCCGCTTAATTAACTGTTGTTTTTCCATCGAATGAAATGCCGCTTATCTATCCATTTCTCTTTTCCATATCATTAGTCAGCAACACGGTGTATTGTACAAAACTTTTACAGTGTTCAGTATCAAGGACAGGTACAGTGTACACAACTGATAAGCAGCATTAAGGACAGGAACACTTCACGATACATGGTTCAGTACCAAGGACAGGTACAGTGTACACAACTGATACATGGTTCAGTACCAAGCACAGGTACAGTGTACACAACTGATACATGGTTCAGTACCAAGGACAAGTACAGTGTACACAACTGATACATGGTTCAGCACCAAGGACAGGTACAGTGTACACAACTGATACATGGTTCAGTACCAAGGACAGGTACAGTGTACACAACTGATACATGGTTCAGTACCAAGGACAGGTACAGTGTACACAACTGATACATGGCTCAGTACCAAGGACAGGTACAGTGTACAAAACTGATACATGGTCCAGCACCAAGGACATGTACAGTGTACACAACTGATACATGGTTCAGCACCAAGGACAGGTACACTTAAACATAGGCAGGAGACACAATATCAAACAGGGGAATGTTTTAACATAAACTAGTGGGCAAATAATGAAACAAGTTTAAACTGTAATATCCAACACAAATTTTCTCACCCAATTTTTCGACTGTACAACTCCAGTCTTTGTCAAAGAATGAGCAATAAACCGCTTCCCTGACGTCACGCAGATAACACACGTGACTCCGGGAGCAGTGGTTGCAGAAAGTCTGTGGCGCCTCCCGTCTCTGTTGAGGAATGGTTGTAATGCCCTGATGTAGATGGCCTGTTTAATCCGCAAAAAGCTGTGATTAGATATTCAGTAGCTCTATATGATACTTCCAGGAGCCAAGGCCGGCCGGATACAAGACGCCGCAAGACAAGACGCCATCGACAACATCCTGGAGAAACTGGGCAAGCGCAGCGCCGAGTTGTCCGTGGGGGAGGACTGGGCTGATGAGGTAAAACTACCCTTCTCTGTTTACTGTTACCTGGGAAACCAGTTCCGGGAATATAGTGTGTTTGTTTACTCTTACCTGGGTAACAAGTTCCAGGAATAAAATGTCGCGTCTCTGTTTACTGTCACCTGGGCAACCAGTTCCGGGAATAGAGGGCGTGTTCGTTTACTGTTACCTGGGCAACCAGTTCCGGGAATAAAATACGTGTCTGTTTACTGTTACCTGGGCAACCAGTTCCGGGTGTTTACTGTTACCTGGGCAACCAGTTCCGGGAATAAAATGGCGTTTCTGTTTACTGTTACCCGGGCAACCAGTTCCAGAAATGAATTGGCGTGTTTGTTTACGGTTACCTGGGCAACTAGTTCCGGGAATGAAATGGCGTCTGTTTACTGTTACCTAGGCAACCAGTTCCAGGAATAAAGGGCGTGTCCGTTTACTGTTACCCAGTTCCGGGAATTAATGATGTTCTGTTTACTGTTACCTGGGCAACCAGTTCCGAGAATAAAAAGTGTTCGGTTTACTGTTACCTGGGCAACTAGTTCCGGGAATAAATGGCGTGTCTGTTTACTGTTACCTGGGCAACCAGTTCCGGGAAAAAATGACCTCTTTGTTTACCGTTATCAGACAAGGATTTTGTCACCTTCACAATGGTACCTGGTAGACGATGTCGGCCCCGTCGCGGTTCAGTGAAGGTTGATCGGCCCTGATGTATATAACCTCCTTCACCCTCTCAGGAAATAATTTTGTCAATAATTTGTGTGTTTGTTTGTTTGTTTCCGCAGGCCAGGTTAGCGTTCCTGGAGAACCTGCTGAGTGACGTGGGCGGGAAGCGGAAGCGGCTTGCCGAGGTCGACATCGGATCCGCCCGGGGGAACGCACAGGCCAACGACGCACTGAGGGGGCTGGTCGCCGGCCTAGAGGGCTAACTCCCCCCCCCCTCTCCCTCCTTCCTCCGCTCCGTTTCACCCGTCCTGCTAACGAACAACCTGCCGTATTGGCGATCTGATATTTAGATACGGTGGCACAGAATCACACACGTGTCCGTCAGCAAAGTTTCATTGAGATTTACCTGTCATCTTCTACAGTGTAGATTAGATCGTGCCGAACCAAAGGCGAGTTCCACATGGTAACGTTAGGTAGTTACACTATCCCATAGAGTACTGTATCCATAGAGAAGAAATATGTTGGCACGGAGATGCCGTTTCTTAGAGTCATACACAAATCTTCTTCTTCTCATGACTTAGAAATGTATTAAAGAAATAGAAACCGACAATTCCACAGCTGTGCGTTCTTTGTTTTAAGCGGTGTAAAACATAGATAGTGATACGCCAAAAAGCACTTACTCAAGCAACTGGATATGATTTTGACCGTTTCGTTCCAAAAATCATATCCAGTTGCTTGAGTAACTGCTTTTTGGTGCATTTATTACCTGGATGTCTAACCTTCATCGACATAGATAGTGATACTCGTAGGAAATTAAAACTTTTTCAGTACAAGATAATGTATAACTGGCAGGTGCAAAAACGCTTCAGGAGAATGTCAATCCTGGGTTTTAATATTCCTCGGTAACGTTTCATGTCCTCAATGGCAACAAGGAGCCGTGTAGCCACTAACTACGTTGGACAGGTTTCTATACGCAAAATTCTAAAACTAAAAACTTCACGACACCAGGAAAAATGTTGCCAACGTGGTCGGGAGAGCACAATGCGCAGCTGTAAGATATTTCATCAATCATCATGACAAAACACGCTATTTCAAAGGTAACAACTAAATCTCTCAGAATTAGGTGGGAGTTGGGTGTTCGGGTCACAGTTCTCATAGAGTCACAGCTCTCGTAGCTTTGACCAAGCTCACAGCTCTACGAATGTGAGCACAATGCTCAAATATGAGATGTTTCATCAATCATTATGACCAAACACGTTATTTCAAAGAAAACCACAGTGTGGTAACAGCTAAATCTCTCAGTATTAGGTGGAGGTTGGGTGTTTGGGTCACTGTTCTCACATAGAGTCACAGCTCTTGTAGCTGTGACCAAGCTCACAGCTCTACGAATTCACTCGCCTTGAAAATGGAATTACAATGCTCAAGTGTGAGATATTTCATCAATCATCCTGAAAAAAACACGTTGCTTCAAAGGGAACCACAACGGTAACAACTAAATCTCTCAGTATTGGGTGGGGGTTCGGTGTTTGGGTCACAGTTCTCATGGAGTCACAGCTCTCGTAGCTGTGACCAAGTTCTACAAATTCACTCGCCTAGAAAATGGGATCCCGATGCTCAAATGTGACACATTTGATCAATTACCATGACAAAACACGTTATTTCAAAAATACAGTGGTAACAGTTAAATCCCTCGGCCTTAGGTTGGGGTTGGGTCACTGTTTTCATAGAGTCACAGCTCTCTCGTGACCAAGCCCACAACTCTACGAATTCACTCACCTAGAAAATGGGAGCGCAATGCTCAAGTTGGAGATATCTCATCAATCATCATGACAAAACATGTTATTTCAGAAAATAAAGGTCTCCCGTGCCCTTATGCAGAGCGTAGGGTGGTGCCCATCTCCATTTCCGTAGCCCTTGGGCGACACGCAGTTGTGCAGGGCACTACAGCAGGGGGCTGGTCCGCTGGTAATGCTGTGTGTTTGACCTTCCCACACTGAGTGCTGAGTGCTAAGCAGAGAAAGAAGTGTGTACCATTTTTAAAGTCTTTGGTATGACCCGGCCGGGGTTTGAACTCACGACCTCCCGGTTACAAAGCGAGCACTTACCAATTGAGCTATTGCACCGGTCTACAGTCTACCGGTAACAGCTTAAGCTATAGACATTAGATGGGGAAAAACACAGCTCTACGAGACCACGTACGCACACAGCTATGCGAATTCACGAGGCCAAGAAAAACAAGGTTAAAAGATATTACATGCATCATCGCGAATATCAAAGAGAACCGCAGTGGTGACAACTAAAGCTCTCAACATTAGGAGGAAAAAAAACACGGCTCTAGTAAAAGAGATGACATCGGTCAACATCTTCAGCCACCCAGGCGCCTTAAAGGACAGGGGTGCAGACGTAAGAAGGACGCAGACATCTTTCTAAGACTGGCGCCGAGGCACCGCTCAACACTAAGACGTCTTAGGAAAGGTTAAACGCAGCGTGAGATTCGAAAACAAGATAATCGTTCAAAAACAGCCTAGATATCAACTTCATCGGGTGGCTATTGGACGCTAATAACGCGTTATCGTCGCGTTATTATCGCGTCATTGCGAATCTAGAAGGCAACTCATGATGCTGCTGAAGCCGTTACCTGGTGCCGGCACTGGCTGAATGGGTATTCCGTTTGACCAACAGGTGTTAAACTCTACAAGGGACGGGTTTTACTTGACATCACACTGTAAGCTTCATTAATAGTGTTTAATTATTCAGGTACACTGGATCCACAGAGCATCTGTGAGGTCTGCCTTTCATTTTTCCTCGATGACTATAGCTTAAATACTTAGAATATCTTAAAAGATAAACTGTGTTTTGTTTAGTCCCATTAAAACTATTAACGTACATAATGATAGCCATTGACATTTTGGTTTGAAATTTTTGATATAAACAAAAATAAACTTATAATATAACTCTTCTATAAACAGTGAAATTACCTGGAAGAGTCTGCATCAGATGTTAACGTTGGTACGACGTCCCGGTAACCGACTGGTCTTCAACCTTCCTTTGGTCAAACACAAAGTCCTGGCGTCAAGCCTATACGGAAAATAAATGCAATCATCTTTGTAATTAGGCAGACAACATTAAGCCTTCCTTACAATGTGTCAACGCTGCAGTATTTAATACTAATACACACATGTACATGGCCTCAACCAGGCTCTTGAGATTGCTCGGAAAATAGTAAAAAAAAAAACAGAGGGCCAAAATAGGCTGTAGGAGTTAGGTTGCGAATTGGACCTTCTAGCCGGCTAGATATTGCGTGTGCAATTCAGTCTACATATAATAAACTTCATTTTGATTGTCTTTGATCATTCGAATATGTTGCAGGATTATCAAAACGTAAACGAGACGAATAAAGCTTGATAATATCGTTTTTTGTGTATAAAAATCGCTGAGGAGTCTGCCAAGCGGTCAAACTAGGGAACGGGATGTAAACTGTTTATGTAGTGGTGTAAGACTGGGATGTTAATTTGGGAGTTAAAATGCCTCTTCGCGAGAAGCATATTGTTCCCCAGAGAGCTATGCGCGCTGTAGAGCAAATCTAATGACAGATCGACAGAAAGTATTAAGTACTGTTGGGAACGGTACAGCGTCCTTATTACAGAACTAGACTTTATTTGTCCTTTACAGAACAGAACTAGACGTTACTTATCGCAATGATGCGGCAATTCCCAACGCCATGGAACAATGTGCTATAACAGAGCGTAAGATAGACATGAAGATTATGAACCAATGTGTGTTTTTGCACTTCGCAGTAGATAAATTATTCCGGCTCAGCATGGATGAAAAGTCTGAGTCAAAACCACTGGGTACCATCATAGCAGAGAAGAGAATTCTGAGAATGCAGGACGCATTCTCAGAATACCCAGAAACAGACCTGAGTCAGAAATGACCTGAGTCATTGGTGGATGTCCCAACTAACTGGTGGATGTCCCAACTACTAAGTACCTAATACCAGTCCAGAAGAGAACAAGAAATAGCCATGCCTTCAAGTACCAGAGTTATCAACCAAGGATTGAGGCGTTCAAGAATTCATTCTTTCCTAAAACTATTGCAGAGTGGAACTCGCTGTCACCAAGTACAGTAGGGGCATTGTCAATAGATAGCTAACAAGTCGATCGGTGTAATATAGCCAGCTACCGCCGCGCCGCGTGCCTGCGAAGCTGGTGTGTTACGCCGAAGGGCGGTTATACCGGCTATACTGATACAGATACAGTTAACAGAGAAGAGAATGTAGTTGGCAGGACGCATTCTCAGAATACCCAGAAACAGACCTGAGTCAGAAATGACCTGAGTCTCCAAAAACTGTAGAAGGAAGAGAGGAGGGCCGAAAACACACATGGCGGATTCGCGGAGGACTTTCCAAGAAGACCTGAGAAGACATCTCCGGGGAGGAGGCTGAATATGTATCAGCAGTAAAAATGAAAAGTTTAGTGCAAATGGTTTAATTATTCTCTGAGATAAAAGTCAGGCATAGCGACGGAAACTTTGAACAGTTCTTTTTACCGAGAGAAAGCGTCGTCGTCATTTGACGATTCTTAATTAAAGAGAAAATTTAATTTCCGCCTGGGGTCGGCCTTAATGGACATGGATAATTGGTCGATGCATGAATATTTATGTTAGTTTTCATGAGCTATTTTCGTCCGTAGCACAGTCATAAGTGTTTGACTAATCTTGGTGCAGCAAAGATACTGCGTGTTACTGACTGAAGATGAGAAGAATTTACATTAACTGAACACGTTACAATCGTCCTTGGAGTTCTAGACGTGTATGTCATTCTTGAATCCTTACTGCTTTTGCTGCCCAATCCCTTTCATCTGTTCTGCCTTTTAGTGCAATTAACTGACGGCTGAGAGGATCCCGAGAGGATCTGACAACCAGTTTTCTCAACATTCCTCTTTTTCTGTTCGACAGTGTCGTGCCGATCTGTACTCTTTTCCGTGCTTGCTCTTCTTTATTCCTCCCTGGACTGTTCCTTACATGGTGGTTTTGTCTAATCCCGATGACCGTGGCACACGCCACTACCGCTTTAGTTCCCCAGGTTTTATAAGAACATCACAATGCAGTCACATGGGTACCATACAAGAACATCAGACTCACAGACCATCCGCTTTCCTAAACCTCGAACAAATGCACAGAAAAGAAGAGCTTTGTATAGAATGTCCAGTGCCTGGAATGAAATGAAGTGGTGATGATGTACATGTATATGGCCTTATTTTAATCTGTCGTAATTGCCAATGTATTTATGTTTTGTAAATGTGTCGTGTGTGTCTTGAAGTATCACAGGAAGAAAGCTAAGTGTGGATCCCAATAAAGTCAAAGTCAAAGAGGTCTGCTTGGGTAGCCGGGGAAGACTGGATACAGACACGGCACCTGTTAGCAGCACATCATACGTGATGGACAACGCCGCTTGCTAATGCTGTACTCTGACATATGGTGCTTTTATCTTTCACATTTCATGTCGTGGTACGAACTATAGATGCGGACATGCAAGAGGGAAGACTGCGGTTTGCATCTACATGTATAACTTCAATAGGGAAACTCTTAACTTTGATCTGTAA